AATTAATCTTTTAGTACATTTACTTTCGATACTTAAGTACATTTGAAGGCAAATACTTTTGTACTTTTACTCAAGTGGAGGTCTAAAGAGAGGTCTTCTACTTTTACTGGAGTAAAAAGTAAAATTGGGCTCTACTTTAACTGAAGAACATGATTTGTGTACTTAGTCCACCACTGCTTATCACCTTCCTCTCTCCACTCTCCTCCTCTATAGGAACAGGGCTGTGAGTCTTGTGGTCTCCTTCAGTGCAGGACTGACACACACTCGTCTGGTCGTCTCTACAGAACAGCTCCAGGGGTCTCTCATGTTTCTGGCAGATGTAGTCCTCCAGGTTCTCCACAGGGTCCATCAGTTTGTGCTTCTTTAATAGAGCGACTCTCTGATGAGGTTCCAGATGAGTCTTGCAGTAAGAGGCCATACAGATCAGGCAGGACTTCAGAGCTGCACAGTTGTTTTCACAGTAGTCACAGAGAACCTGAGATTTGTCAGGTTTCTCTGGAGCTCTGCTGGATTTGACCTGAACTGACTTCTTGAACTGAGCAGCCAGTCCAGAGATGAACGTGTTCACAGACAGTTCAGGTCTTGTAGGGAATTCTGTCTTACAAACTGGACACTGGCAGTGTGAACTGCTGTCCCAGCACTCTTTGAGACAGACCATGCAGAAGTTGTGTCCACATGGAGTCGAGACTGGATCAGTGAACACATCCAGACAGATAGAGCACTGGAGCTGATCTTCAGACAGGAGACTGCTGGAGGAAGACATGACTGACAGAGGAGATGACAATTCATAAAAATTTAGTCGATTAATAAACACTATTGCATATTTCTTTTAACTGAACGTCAACAGAAAAAGACGTGTTCTCATGAAATGTGTATCTGAAATCAATCCTGTTCATCTGACTGATGAGCTTCACATTCTACCTGTTAATCATGAATCTGTAGCTGAACAAATGATCACAGTGACTGACAGAAATGATCTGAACATCTGGATGTATTTTCAGTAACAGACAATAAGAAACTTAGACTCATTACCACTTTCACTTTCTCTACTTTGGTCTGCTTTTCTGCTTCTTCAGAGTTGATCTGTAGAGTTTAACTGAGTTTCCTGACTGGAGAACCTTCAAACTGGAAACTGTGTCCTGCTGGAAGAACTGAATTCTGTTGATGAAACTCCCTTTACTCTTGTCTCTCCTGCGTGACGTCAGGTGGACTCGCCTGCTTTATCATGACGACAGTTTGTTGCACTTGCATGTTTGACCAGCAGGTGGCAGATATTCACCAACTGACTTACACAGGAGAGGAAACAGTGCTGAAAATCCCTACTTAAGTAAAAATACTGTTACTAAAGTGATAATTTACTTCATAATTTAGTTGAGTACAAATAAAAGTATTAATGAAGGACATTAAAAAGTAAATAAGTAAGGAAAGTCAGAGTAAATAAGTAGTTTATTGGAAAACTACTTGAATAATAGTTACTTTTTTACATTTGAAATCACAACCTGGAATATTTCTGAGTCGACTCGACATCAGAGAAAATAATCTGTACAATCAAAACTAAAGCAAGACATGATATAAACATGAGAAAACAGTTCTGAGAGCTGAGACTGATCACAGTCTGCTCTGCTAGTGACATCTACACATCTCTCTGTGAACTGTATAAGGAACAAGGTTTACATTAAACTACACGCCTTTCATGGATTATATGAGGCTTCCTAGTTTATCTGTTTCCAGTAAAGCAGTTTAAGAGTCAAATAACAGGTAGATCACTCAGTTTTTAGTGACAGCCCTGCTGCCCCTCAGCTCCCTAAACACTAGCTTACATTAACAGGTGTGAACATCTGCACACAGCAACATTCACAGCCTTCAATCTGTGTAAATTCACTGATACCTGTTTAGAACATTTCTACCATTAAAATCATTAACAACTACAGTAATTTATCCAGTTTAGATTTCGGACCCTCTGGCGTGAGAGAGTTCAGAGTCAGGCTGTGTTCTGTGATGAACTGACAGAGAACAGTCTCTGATGCTGTAGTATTGTCTGTAAGGTGAGTTTGAGGAGTAAATGTATTGTAGTGTTCACTGCTATTAAGAAGACACAGTTTACAAACTGCTGGGCTTTATTTTAGGATTAATTCTAATCAAGTGGAAACACCTGATTTTACTTGTTTAATGTGTCTGGAATAATTCTTTACAGCTCTACTCAGCTCTACATGCTGAACAGGATTATTCCAGACTGCTTCATTCACCATCTGCTCAGCTCTAACAGCTCTATTCAGTCCTGTGAGGGCTCTGATGTGTATGAATAAAGGTACGTAGCTCTGTACAAACACTGTGAGCTTTTCTTTTAGCTCCCATTTAGAGAAAAACAACATTAAACTAAAACCTATTAAAATATTACTGAGCTAAAAGCAGCAGCTCCTCTATTCAGCTGTTCACTTCTTTACAGACTCACACAAGAAAAGTCTATCAGTGTTTAATCATTTAAACACAGAGCTGAGTTCAGTTAAACCTGCTGTACAAACTTTCATTCTCTCATAAACACAAACTGTTTCATTCATAAAGTCATTAGTCATATATAACTCAACACAGCTGTACAGATGTTCCATATAAAGAGCATGAAGAAATCAGGTGTGTGGTCTGTTTCTCTCTCTTTCAGGTGATTAATGAAGGCATGAACTATGAACTGTAAGCACACACTCTCATTATTATTATTACTGTTATTACTAATATTATTATTGTTGTTTCATGTTTCAAGTTTCAAGTTTATTTGTCATTTACACAACATGTCAGGACATTTATGCATTGAAATGCTTGTGGTGAGGCTCAGACAATCACTCTACAGAAAGTAAATAAGTAAAAATAAAATTACAAGAAAAACTGAAATATATTAAATATACACAAAATATAGAGAACATACAGATAAAATATGCACAAATATAGATAAATGTGCACAAATATACAGGCCATAAACATTTTAAAGTGACTTAAGTGACTCAGTGTTATTGTTCTTTAAAGTGGCTTAGTGTTAAGGTGTTATTGTCCATAGCAGAGATGATATGATGTAATAATAATGCTGACAGAGTGACTGAGTGAAATGGTAGTTGGTGAAGGACCCACAGCTTCACAGCTTGTTCAGAAGCCTGACAGCCTGTGGGTAGAAACTGTTCAATAACCGGGTCGTCCTAGCCTGTATGCTACGAAATGGTGAACAGGCTGTGTGCTGGGTGGCTGCTGTCTGATCTTTTTGGTCTTCCTGAGGCAGCGGGACTGGTAGATGTCCTGTAAGGCTGGTAGTCTGTTGCCTACGATGGCTTCTGCCATCCTCACCACTCCTTTAAGGGCCTTGCGGTCACAGGCAGTGCAGCTGCTGTACCAGACAGTGATGCAGCCCGTGAGGAAGCTCTCTATGGTGCATCTGTGGAAGTTGGTGAGGATCTGAGGAGGCAGACCAAACTTCCTGAGCCTGCGCAGGAAGAAGAGACACTGATGGGCAGATCTCACAATAGTGTTGGTGTGGAGGGACCAGGTGAGGTCATCAGTGAGGTGTATGCTGAGAAACTTCACACTGCCGACTCTCTCCACTTCGGCTCCATTGATGAACAGGGGAGAGTGACCACCCCTCTGCCGCTTCCTGTAGTCCACGATCATCTCCTTTGTTTTGCTGATGTTGAGACCACTCTGACAGAGCGCTGACCTCGTCTCTGTAGGCTGTTTCATCTCCATCAGTGATGAGGTCTAGGATGGTGGTGTCATCAGCAAACTTGAAGATGATGTTAGATGTGTGTTTGGCTACACAGTCATGTGTATACAGGGAGTACAGGAGGGGGCTGAGCACACATCCCTGGGGAGCCTCTGTGCTCAGAGTCACTGTGGAAGAGAAGCCGTTACCAACTTTCACCACTTGGGGTCTGCTCGTCAGGAAGTCCAGTATCCAGTTGCAGAGATGAGAGTTCAAACCCAAGTCTGTGAGCTTAGAAATGAGTTTGGCAGGGATGATTGTGTTGAATGCTGAGCTGTAATCTATGAACAGCATTCTTACATATGTGTTCTTTCTGTCCAGGTGAGTGAGAGCAGTGTGTACTGTTAGTGCAAAGGCGTCGTCTGTGGATCTGTTGGAGCGGTATGCAAATTGGTGAGGGTCCATGGTGGCTGGAAGTGTTGAGCAGATGTGGGCTTTGATCAGCCGCTCGAAGCACTTCATAACTGTTGATGTCAGTGCAACAGGGCGGTAGTCATTCTGGCAGGTGACAGACGATTTCTTGGGGACTGGAACAATTGTTTCCTTAAAGCACTTGGGAATCACTGACAGTCTTAAGGAGAGGTTAAAGACGTCAGTGAAAACCTCAGCCAGCTGGTTGGCACATGCTTTAAGTACACGGCTGTGGACGCCATCGGGACCGGGTGCCTTGCGTGGGTTAACTGCCCTGAAGGATCTCACCACCTCAGACAGGGGAATGGCTAGAGCGCAGCTCTCCTCATCTACTGGGAGTTTCTCAGCAGGTGAGGTGTTGGTAGCCTCAAAACGAGCATAATGAGCATTAAGTTCATCTGCAAGTGAGGAGGAAGAGCCCCTATCACAGATCCCACCTTCTTTGTAGTCAGTGATGGTGCGCAGGTCACTCCACATACGTCTGAGATCAGAGCCAAGATAGCTGGATTCCACTCTGTCCCTGTAGCTCCTTTTGGCCAGCCTGATGGTCCTCTGAAGGTCATATCTGGCCTTCTTGTAACTAGCCGGGTCATCAGAGTTGTAGGCAGCAGCCCGAGCTCTTAGTTTGGCTCGAACCTCAGCATTGATTCAGGGTTTCTGGTTGGGAAAAGTTCTGACATTGATTTTTGGTACAATGTCTTCAGTGCATTTATTGATGTAGCTTGTGATGGAGTCAGTGTATTCATTGATGTCTGTGCCAGCCGCATCTCGGAACATCTTCCAGTCTGTGGATTCAAAGCAGTCCTGAAGTGTGAAGATGGCCTCCTCACTCCATTGATAGACTGATCTGAGAACTGGTTTTGCCTGTTTAAGTCTTTGTTTGTATGTGGGCAGGAGAAGAATAGAGGTGTGATCAGCTTTGCCGAAGGCAGGGAGGGGGAGGGGTTTGTAACTGTCCTTGATTGCGGTGTAGCAGTGGTCAAAGAGAGGA